GACCAATTCAGCTTATCATAGGCTTTCTCTAAATCAATTTTAATGGCCATAGTACCCATCTTACTTTTAAACTTTGTCATCGAATGGACAATCTCTTTAGCTGCAATAATGTTATTCTGCAAGTTTCTGTTTGGGACAAAGCCGGTTTGGTTATCAGAAACCAAAGCTTCCATTACTTCCTTCAATCTACCCACTATAACTTTACTCATGCCTTTGTAAATCACATTGCACAAGGAAATTGGCCTGAATTGAGAAACCAATGTAGGCTTATTAACCTTTGGGATAAGGGTAATAATCGTACCATTAATATCAGCAATGGTTTGCGGGTTTTCCAAATAAGCTAGGAAAGCATTCCAGACTTGATCACCTACCAGATTCCAGTTCTTTTGATAAAAAGCAGCTATGTACCCATCCTCCCATGGGGCTTTTAATCCTTTCATTGTGAAAAAAGTTTTTTTAACTTCCTCCTTAGTAACACTCACCCTTAATTTATCCATGACTTCCTCAGGAACAATAGGCCATCTAGTATTGATCCACTCACGATCACAGCTTTCATCTTTGAAAAGATTAATATAAAAATCGCGGATCATCTTAAGCAGGCCTTCCTCTTCACGAATCCAACTTCCATTATCATCCTTGAGTTCCACGATTCTACCTCTTTTCCTTCTGACAATAGTCTTTGTATGATAGTATCTCGTGTTTCTGTCACCTTGATTAATCCACTGAGTTCGAGACTTTTCGTACCATAATAACTCCTCTTGATCAAGGACCTCCTCAAGTTCAGCTTTGATCTTGCACTCCACTTTCTCCAGATAATCTTTATTGTGCTCAGAAATGGCTCTTTGAATACCTTCAAGTCTTCTCATCAACTTATTCTTCCTATGCTTAATATTCTCAAACACCTTCTCATTCCACTCCTTAATGCAAGGGGTAAGAACCTTCAAACAATCAATAATGTTCCCATGCACGTGCCAATTGTCCTTTAAAAATTGATTGAACAGGATATGGTCCTGCCAAAAGGAATGGAAACGGAAAGGACGATCCTTCCACTCATAGTTAGTACTTAGTAGTTACCCAATTCAGTTATTTATCACTGTTGAAAGAGCAATTAATTTGTCATCTAACTCTTTACCACTGAACATTGCATTCCTATGACTTTGAGATAGCATTGCGGGACATTTGGTATAGGAGAAAAAAAAATTATTTGAAAAACTCAATTACTGTAAGTGAGTTTTCTGAGAAAATTAGACAAAAGTTGTTTGATAGACCGAAATATTATCGAAAAAATTAATGTAAGTTTTCTGAGTCTATATTTGGTTGAAGGTAAAATATTATTGAAAAAATGGGATGAATTTACGAAAATAACCCTTACCTAAATATTAATATTTGAATCTGAAAAAGCAACAATAATGTTGCCCGTTTGTCCTCATCTTCAACATTCTTCCTACCTTCTCCTTCTCTCTCTTTCTGTCTCGTTCTTCTTACCTTCTACCAACGTTCTTTGCTCGTTGCTCGTTTGAATCTGAATTTGACACGTTATTTTAAGAGGGATATTTGTGTCCTAATTTTCCCCCCCAATTTTTGATTTGTCGGCAAAATCAGAATACCACCCAGAGAGTGGTATTCTGAAGTGGTAATCTTAATTCAATTTTACACATAATATCAGATTACTATATAAATGAGAACCCAATGCAAATTTTTTACAAACCCCTACTAAACATTAGGGGTGTTCATCAACCGATCCAAACCGATATTCAAACCACGGTAACCGATCCGAAAAATCGATAATCGAATAAACCGAAAACCGAAAAATCAAAAATCGAAAAAAACCGCAAATTTTAATTGGATTGGATCGGTTTTTGGATGGTTTGATGAAAACCGATTCAATCCAAACCGATCCAATATATTAATTTCCTACTACCTACTTGGGTCTTTCCCTAATCATAGCCTAAAAATTTCTAAACCCAATACCCATTAACCCAAGAAAAAATCTAGTCACATCTCATCAACAAAATTTTTTGTTTGTAGAGCTTCATATCTCATTGCAAAAAAAAAAACTATATTATAGTTTATTAATGCTTTTGTATTTAAAAAAAAATCACAAAGTCAATATATATAAAAGATGTTATTTGCACAATAATCATGAAATAAATTTTAGGATTTTCGAAAAACCGAAAACCGATCCAATCCAAACCGAAAAAATTGGATTGGATCAGATTTGAAAAAAATTCAAACCGAATGGATGATTATACAATCAAACCGAAGGTATTGGATCGGATGATTTTTTACTTCCAAAACCGATCCAATCCAGACCGCGAACACTCCTACTAAACATGTCTTCTTTGAATCCATGTGAACTTTCCTAGGCAAAAAAATAAAACTTCCTTACCAAACACCCGTGTAGTTGCGCACTCGGCATTTCTGCGGTGTTCTGCTCATGCCCTTTTTTTTGGGGGCTGTTTCTATTATTGGTGTTGAAAGAGATCGGAGAGCTTTTTTGTGCTCTTCCACAACTTTGGGCGTTTGGTTGCAGTTTTTATTTGAAATACCCAGGCAACTGAGATAGGGAATTGAAGAAGACATCGTTTGGTAGAAGGTTCACCAAAAATATGCCTAGGCAATTGAATACCCAGTCATCCGATTTTGCGTGAAAAATAGGATTGGAAACAGTGTTTTAGATACCCAAATCTGAGATGGTATTTCGCAGTTGCCCGGGAAGGAAAAAAGTAGCGTGAAAAATTTGTCCAAAATGCCCCCTAATGTACTGATGGGTATTATGAAAGTGAACACCATGTTTATGCTTGCAGTGACAAGTTTAACAACCCTTACCCACTGATGGTGGAGGCTTGCTTGTCAATCCCTACTGTCCACAAATCGGCACCGCTCTAATGTATTTGCGTTTCTTTTTGCCAACTTGACTGCCCATTCACAGCAAATGCTCACCGTGCTGGATTTAGGGTCGCAGCATTTGAAAGAGAGACAAGGAGGAAGACGGAGATGTAGACATATGAACGTTTGAAATAATGGCCAGGGATACACATTCAAAAAATTTACAAGGATATTTTCGTAAATTTAAATTTTTTTCCCATCTACATTTTACCTACAATCAAACATAAACTTTATATTTTCTCAGTTAAATTTTTTTCAACCAAACAACTTTTTTTTATATTTTCCTACCAAACTCACTTTCCTATCATTTTCTACCATTTCCCTATCAATATCATTTTCCTATTATTCATAAAATTTCTCCTCAACCAAATGTCCCCTTGGGTTTTTTTTTTTTCATGATATAAGAGATATTTTATTTTATACAGATATAAAAATATAGAGGACTTTTTTTTTTTCTTTTTTCTCTTCACATGACTCTATATAGGTTCCATACATTTTTAAATATATATAAAATAATAATTTTATCTCTTCTTATATCAACAATTCAAACCCTAACTTTTATTATAATACAACGTGAAAGAAGTTGTATTGTTTTCCGTTAGACATTTAAATAAAGTCAAACCATACACGTACTCACTGACACTGTATGAAATTTTTTCCTCCTGTGTATTTGTGTGTGGGCGTGTGAGGTGGTGGGATATATTACGCACAACTACGTAAGTTGCAACAGTGAAAGTATGGTACTAGACAAGGCATTTGATGAATTTTTATTTTTTTAATATTCCAATCATTTTGTTTTACTATTAGTTTGATTTGGGACACGTTTAAAATTAAGGTTTTAAATTTTTTTTAAAAATAATATTAGGAGAATTGAACACATACTCTTATCTCCACCTACTTAATTTTTTGCAACGCCAACTAAACTACCATCATTTGATTTAGACGAAGATTTTCATGTGCTTGTTCACCGGTCTAGTTATTTTTTTTGGTTGCAAGAAACTTTAACTGTATGAGTAGAATAAATTTGCAATGGACTGAGGAAGCTTTTGATTTTCCTAGAAAACCAAAATCTACCCCCAAGCTAGAAACAATGACGACTGATTTTGAGAGCTAATTCTCATTTACTATTTTTTTCTTTCTTTCTAAAATTAGGTTTTCATAAGGCGATACACTCCATTCATTTCACAAAATTCAAATTATTTTTTACCTTAAATTAAATGAGTCAAACAGCATTCTTTTGAACTTATATTTCAATAAATCCAAAATAATTAGTAGAGAATTCCCTTCAATACTATTTTTGTTGAATTAATTTTTTTAAAATTCAAAATGTTATTATTTTTATAAAAAAATTCAATTTTTTTTTAAATTTAGTATAATTAATGACATATAACTTTTCAAAATTTTAATTCAAGAATTTATTCTATAAATTCAAAATTTTTACGCTTAATAGGATTTTTTTTTATTCTATTATTTGTAGTGTCATCAAACACAATTTTCATTCTCGGAACAAAAATAGAACATATTATCAAATATTTTTTTTTCCTTAGAAACTGTTACAAGTCACCTAAATAGAAAAGAATTATGTCTTTTCAGAAACTTTGTCGGGAAACATAATAATTGTCATGTACACCCTCAGGTCTTAAAACTTGGACTAATAGATTCATTTATTTATACGTGTTTAAATGAATTTATTGTAATTTAAAAAAAAAATCTTATAATCAAAATTCTATTGTGTTTTTAATCCGAAATTCTAATAGAATTTGTGACTGCCCTCCTAAAACTTGGAACTTTAAGATTCAAACCCACATTGTACATGTATAGCTCCCTGTTCTTTTAATTTAATTTAATTTTTTAACGGCTAGAAAGCAATTAAATAATCATCCTAAATTGGCAATATTGTACAAAGACAGTCAACTTTCTCATAGATTATGCTTTTTTTTTATCCAAATTAACAGTAACTGATACCTGATATAAGTGCCTTAAAAATCCAACATTTTGAAGATATTAGGACAAAAGCGATATGACAAAACACATATCGTTTGTCTTTTATCTTTCATACTGTGTCAAAAAAAAAAAAAAAAACACACACACACACACATCTCCTGGGCAATTTATTTTATTTATTTTTAGTACATTTGGGGCAATTTATTTAGGTAAAAATAGATTTCACTCATTTTTGAACTGAACAGTCAGACAGCAGACGCTGAAGATTCGGCACCAATTTTGAAGGGAAAGATAATGCAGGTTAACAGCTTGTCGTTATGATCCTTAAAGTTCAGCTTCACATTAATGGTATAGGCGCCCTGCAAAAGTAGCAGAATCAAAATGGAGACTAGCAATGAACCCAATAAGTTATACATGTTCAAGGAAAACAGAAATGTTGTAAATCAGAAATTTGTTGAAGACAAGACCAAAACAAAACAAGAACAAGCTGAGGAATGCAGGAATGCAGGAAAGGCATAACTAACATACGGTTATCGAGAAAAAAAATAAAGCCTAAAGTCTCACATTAAGAAGCCAATATAGAGCATAGAGATAAAACAGCTTAAGTTGCATCTAGGAAGATACGAAAATAAGTCATTAAGACTTACTAGGAGTAATTATAATAACTTAGTCGAACAATTAGAGTATATGGTTATAATTATAAGCTGATGAAGTAAATGACCACTGATATATATTTGGTAAAGTGAGACTAACCGGTGGGGTATCTTTAGGCATAAATTCGGTGTGAATGAGCACAAAGTTGCCAGCAGGAACTGGACAGGGTGTTTCCTCAGAGAGATCGTGGAGATATGTAGCAGGAGGTCCTTCTAACCCAACATATGAAACTTCATATACTAAATCACCACTAGGAATTGGTTCGCCTGCATGAAAGATAGCCACCATTTCCATTAATTATTATTAATGAAAGTAAATGAATGACTTGTCAACTATAAAAGGACGGACACACACACACACACACCATTTTGATGTTATGTCTGCATGTTAGACAGGCCACTTGTATTATACTTACCGTATAAGAATAGCGCAAAAATACAAAGACAAAGTATGATGGAAAATGAGGAGCAAATTAATCAATGAAAAATGGAAAAGAAGCCAAAGGAGAGAAAGAGAAGTGACACCAGTATAAGCTGCGATCTTGAAGGTGAAGGGCTCTCCTCTAATCACAGGGTCAGGTAATATTTCCACTCCACTCACCTTTACAGCATAGTTTGCATTCTTATCTGCATGATATAACATCTGAATGTTGAAGAATGAAACAAAAATCATGAACAAAAATGAAGCGTAAGGGAGTTTAGTTACCACAGTATTTGAAAGCTTGAGCATGAGAAGAAAAAAGTAGCAAAATGATGGATGAGAAGCACAAAACGAGGGAGAGCGTTGAAATAGAGTGAACCGCCATGGCTATGGAAGTGAGTGCAAAATTCGTACCACTACCGGTTACTATTAAAAGACAGGGGAATGTTATATTTACAAAAAAAAAAATTCTTACAAACTCTTCAGAACTACATTAAGTATGATCTGTCAGACTTCAATCAAGAGTATATGACCGATCATACTTAGTGTAATTTGTAAAAAAAAATTGTAAACGAATTATTTTCCTGAAAAGTATATAACCAAACGACACGATTGCCCAGCTTAGACATATTTCTACATAAAGTAATAGGGTTTAGTGTGTGACGTTCAAAAGGACACTAGTTATATTCTTTTAGTGATTTACACAGAGTACGGCCGGTCGTACTCTGTGTAATTCTGAAAAGTTACTTTTTTTTTTACTTTACGTGTCAGGTGATGTGACTGGGGAGAGAGAAAAAAAAGCAACTTTTCAGTTTTACACAAAGTACGACCGGTCATACTTTGTGTAAAATACCTAAAATGACACAAGCTTCTGTCATTCAAAAGGATACTTCTTTTTCCCAAAGTAATAACACGTGCAACATATGGTTATTATTTTTATTATTAGATTAATTATTGTTATTGAAGAAAGTGGGTGATATTACATCACTAAGAGGTTTGAACCCATGTATAGAACAGAAAAGATAATGATTAGAAATATCATACACAGTGCAATTATGAAAAATTAGAACAGACTTACTTGATGTCAGTTTAATGGAACAGACAGATGAATGTATGCAATATGAGGAATTAAATCCGAACTCACATAACATATCTCTTTAAGACAATTCATCCCCTACTGATGCCAAAGGGTTGATGACAAGAGTCTCCAAGGATAGAACGAATTTCATCTGAGGAGTGATGACACTACCAGTCAACAGCAACACGAACACAACAATTGCTAGAGGAAAGTACACCGGAGAAAACTGAAAGGAGGATGCAAACTGAAAGAAGAAAAAATTTCGACAGAATAACAGTGCATCAAAACCGGATAATTTTTCTGGGGGGTTTAGGGTCTATTTATAGATACTGACCAATCACGATGAACCACCACCGGTGGCGAACCGCCGTGACTGACGGCCGCGAACGGACACGACCGTTGATCGGTTCGGTGAACAGGTACAACTTGTGACTTATTTTATGTTTGTGAACACCTTATTTTGACCGGCATATCTTCATCTTTCTATTTTTTTTATGTATAGACTTATGTTTAAAATAATAATATCGATTTAATTTTCTTTTTCTCTTTTTCAGTAAATTTTTAATGTTTATCCAGTCTTGTTAATATGTTATTTTTTTATTTTATTTTATTTTATCTTAAGTTTAAACAATATATATATATATATATATATATATATATATATATATATATATATATATATATATATATTCAGCCTTCTTTCGTTTATTATTATATATAAATAAGGGATAAATAAGAATAATGTTGTAGGAAAAAAATTGGTGTCATGCAACCACTTGAGACAACACAAAGTCCTTGAAAAGAGTGCATCTTTCACTTTCTTTATTATTATCTAGTTTGTCTTTTCTTTGTAGGAAAAAAAAAATTATTCATATAACATGACAAAACCAAAGCCCTATAAATAATGTGAAACATACTTCTTTTGCATAATATAAAATAAAAAAATGAAAAAAATAATAAGCCACTTGCTCGAAGCCATTATTTATATATGGACCCCATGCTTTCACAATAATTCAAGAAGGAAATAATTCTGCTGAAAGGATGGGGGACAACTTGTCACTGGGTCCGTTCCATCATTTGAAGACTCAGTGGCTCAGTGCAGTTCTTTCATAATGTTATCCGAAGACCTTTATTCTTGAATTTCTTGTGTTTTTCGTTCAAACACAAAAAGTCGGAACATTGATCTTTTACCACTCTTTTGAATAGTATTTATTAATATGTTATGATACAATAATTTTTTTTAAAAATGCCACGTCATATTATCGCTACGTCATCAAGCGAGACTGGATTGGATACGTAGTAGTGTCTTGCAGGCCACAAATCTTGCCCAATAGTATAGCGAGATTCATGGTCAATATGACAGACTGCCACATCTGTAAAAACTATCCACATTGCTAAGCGAGACTGGATTGGATACGTGGTAGTGTTTTGCAGGCCATAAATCTCGCCCAATAGTGTAGTGAGATTCATAGTCAATATGGCAGACTGCCACATCTGTAAAAAAACTATCCACATGGCTAATCTCGCTGAGCTGCCCAACAAGAATAGGTGTGACTTATCAAATTAAAATAAATGACATTAAAATAAAATAAATAATAACCTAATTACTAATTAAAATAATTAATAACCTAAAATTTACTTATACTAATTCATGTAATAAATATTAAACATGTCATCTATCCTATAAATTTTAGGGTAGTTAATTATTTTAATTAGTAATTAATTTAGTATTTATTTTTTATTATTGTTGTTATTAGCATTTCTTAATATAAAAAATATAGGATATAGATGACATGTTTAATATTTATTACATGAATTAGTATAAGTAAATTTTAGGGTAGTTAATTATTTTAATTAGTAATTAGGTCAGTATTTATTTTTTATTATTGTTGTTATTAGCATTTATTAATATAAAAAATATAGGACAGATGACATGTTTAATATTTATTACATGAATTATTATAAGTAAATTTTAGGGTAGTTAATTATTTTAATTAGTAATTAGATTAGTAATTATTTTTTATTATTGTTATTATTAGCATGTATTAATACAAAAAATCATAGGATAAGTGACATTGTTAATATTTATTACATGAATTAGTATAAGTATATTTTAGGATAATTAGTTATTTTAATTAGGAATTAGGTTAGTATAATTTATTGTTATTATTAGCATCTTTTAATACAAAAAAGATCCTATGATAGATGACATTTATAATATTTATCACATGAATTAGTATAAGTACATTTTAGGATAGTTAATTATTTTCAATAGTAATTAGGTTATTATTTATTTTATTTTAATGTCATTTATTTTAATATGATAAGGTACCCCTATTCTCGCTGGGCAACCCAACAAGATAGGCCAGGGTGCTGACACATAGAAAAGATACACCTATTCTCGCTGGGCTACCCAACAAGATTAGTCATGTGAACAATTTTTTGCTGATGTGACAATCCGCCACATTGATCATGAATCTCGCTACACTGTTGGACGATATTTGTGGCCTACAAAATACTGCCACGTGTCCAATTCAGTGTTGCTTGGTGATGTAGCAAGAATGTGACATGATATTTTGAGAAAAATTCATTTGATCATGACATATTAATAAATACTATATAAAAAAATAGCAAAAAGGTCAATGTCCCCAAAAGTCCCACTATGTTTTAACTTTGCATTATTATAATACTATTTTGTTTTTTTTTATTTGTTAGTCATGATATGTGCTGTTAGTTGAAATTGGGCCGAAAATATCATAGACCATATATTGCTTTGTCTAAGTTTGTTTTCTTTCCTTTAAAAGTTTAATAAAAAAAAGAAAAAACCATGAGTGGCTAGCTTGTCTTCTCGTCTCGTTTATTTGATTAGATCAGGTGTGTGTCATGATGGTGAAATAAATAAAAAATATAAGAGAGAGAAAGGCAACTAAAGTAGGATGATAAGCTTATTAGTAGCTTTCTGGTTCTCCAGTCTCACAGTTTCTATCACTTATAGTGATACGGGACATGATACAATACGATACTTTGACATGTGTTAATTTTAAAAAATATAAGATTTTGACATGTTAGGACACATTTTAATATTAAATAATATTTTTAATTTATGTAGTGTACATCATATTTAATATTTAATAATTTGACAAAAAATGAAACTAAACTTATAATAACTATCAATTTTGCAAAGAAACATAAAATATTACAAATATTTATATTAAACTCAATAAAGTGATAATCGTAATCCAACGAATCTAATAGTTGAAACTAAAAACGCAACGCACCCTTTGAACCTTTGTTTGAGTCTCTACAACACGAGTTGGAGTGTCAGAGAGTGTCGAAAAGTATCGGACACGACACGTCAAGATTTTTGAAGTGTCGGTGCTTCATAGACGGTCACTATTAGCTCTAGCATTTAAGTTATTGTTTCTATTTTAACCAACAAATATATATATATATATATATATATATATATATATATATATATATACACACACAAAAACAAAGGCATGTAGTCTGCAGCATAAGCTTCGATTGCTTTTCTTTTTCCTAGAGTGGACTAGGTACTTTCTTAATGTTATAATAAAAAATAAAAATAAAAGAAAGAAAAAAGAATTAATTTCATAAAAGTAAGGCTTTGCTGATTTGTAACAGCTTGTTAATCTCATTATTTTTAGAATCATTTTCACCAGTCTGATGATTTTAAACTATTGAGTAATAACAAACAAACATGCAAAACAATAGTGGTTTTTTAATTAAAATTATTAATTTAGAAAATAATGAATAAGTAAGATAAGTCGGATATTAATTAAAATGGGCGTCAGCTGAGCTGTGACGGCTTGTTAATCTCATGTATTTTGTTTTGACTCATTTTAGCCATGATAGCTTGGTAATTCAAAATTCATCGTAAAATTTACAATGATAAAGATAATAACATGAAATTTATTTTAAAAGGATTAGCTGAGTTGAGACGGCTTGTTAATCATGCAATTATCATTTGAATTATTTTATCTGCGACACCTTGATGATCTCAGACCTTCAAATCAGAAACTTCCAAATGAATTATTTTTAAAATTAAAATCAATCAACACATGAATATTTTCTACAAAAAAACATAACATTGAGTTCCCTATTTGCACCGAGGGATACGTCGGAGCAGGACTCTTCCCGTCAAGTCCAAAAATAAATTTTCAAATTATTTTTCTTTTCTTTAATCATTTTTATTTAAATTTTACGGTGAAATAAATATTTAAAATTTTATCAACAATTAATATAAGGTAAACATTTTTAAACAGACGGTGTAGGGTGTTAACACCTTCCCTACACATAATCGACTCCCAAATCCATTTTGTTTTCAAAGTCCAATTTTTAAACAAAAGGGTTTCTCTAACATTTTTCAAAATAAACTTTAGTGGCGACTTCATTATTTTTAATCTTTTAATCTCTTCCTCCGTAAAGTCGCGATCCGGTTGTGACAATATTTAATGTGGTAATATTTTAGTAAAATAATCTTTTAACTTTGGTGCATAAAAAAAATGTTTTATTCCCCATCTTTAATGGTGCAATATGATTATTATAATTTATCGAAATATGTTAATGAATTAATTACTAATTTTAATATTAAATGTGTGAAAATGAATAGCTGGAATAAGAAGCAACACTTTTTGTACTTATGTAAGAGTCAATATATATATATATATATATATATATATATATATATATATATATATGACTTATCATTTCTCAAACTGCTTTAGATAATTTTATCTCCGGCTACTAAATCATAACCGTACAAAGATGGATCAATGGTGATAAAGGAAGAGAGAGAAAAAGAAAATCATAACCATCCAAAGGTGAATCAATTAATGTAAGGAAATAAATAAACAAAATAATGTAGTTTTGGGGTGGCCGGAGATAAACTTATCTCAAGTTGTCGGAGAAATATTTTTTCCATATATATATATATATATATATGGTAATATTACTCTCATGTAACATGAGAGTAGTTCTCTCATGTTACAGAGAGAATCCAAGTAGGGCCCGTTATTTAAAAGCAAAAAAGAAAAAGAAAAAAGAAGGGGCACGATTTTCGAAGTGAGAGAAAAGGAGATAACTACCTCATGTAAAATGAGAGTAGTATTTCCCATATATATATATAGGACTTATCATTTCTCAAGCTGCTTGAGATAATTTTATCTTCGGCTACTAAATCATAATCGTACAAAGATGGATCAATGGTGATGAATGAAGAGAGAGAAAAAGGGAATCATAACCATCCAAAGGTAAATCAATTAATATAAGTAAATACATAAACAAAACGACGTAGTTTTGGAGTGGCCTGAGATAAACTTATCTCAAGTTGCCGGAGAAATATTTTTTCCATATATATGTATATGGGCTTATCATTTCTCAAGCTGCCGGAGATAAAGTTATCTCCGGCTACTAAATCATAATCGTACAAAGATGGATCAATGATGATAAAGGAAGAGAGAGAAAAGGGGAATCATAACCATTCAAAGGTGAATCAATACATATAAGAAAATAAATAATCAAAACGACGTAGTTTTGGGGTGGCCGGAGATAAATTTATCTCAAGCAGCTTGAGAAATATTTTTCCCTATATATATATATATATATATATATATATATATATATATATATATATTATCATTTCTCAAGCTGCTTAAGATAATTTTATCTCTGGCTACTAAATCATAATCGTACAAAGAAGGATCAATGGTGATTAAGGAATAGAGAGAAAAAGGAAATCATAACCATTCAAAGGTGAATCAATTAATATAAGAAAATAAATAAACAAAATGACGTAATTTTGGGGTGCCGTAGATAAACTTTGTACGGTTATGATTACATTTTTCTCTCTCTTCCTTCGTTACCGTTGATCCATCTTTGTACGGCTATGATTTAGTAGCCGGAGATAAAATTATCTCAAGCAGCTTGAGAAACGATAAGCCATATATATATATATATATATAAAGGGAAAAATATTGCTGCAATTACTACTGATAAGTTATCTGGATTTATTTTCAAAACGACGTCGTTTTGGTATTGAAATCTTAAAAAAATATAAATATAAAGACTATTATAACCCTGAAATAAATTAAAATTTTAAAAACACCATGATTTCTGCCCAAAACGACGTCGTATTGGGCTTACTACAGATAACTTATCTGAAGTAACTGCAGAAAAAGCGAACCCATATATATATATATATGAGAAAAATATTTTCAAGCAGTTTGAGATATATTTATCTTCGTTCACCCAAGAATTACGTTATTTTATTTATTTATTTTCTTATATTAATTGATTCACTTTTGAATGGTTATGATTCTCTTTTTCTCTCTCTTCCTTTATCACCGTTGTTCCATCTTTGTTCGATTATGATTTTGTAGCCGGAGTTAAAGTTATCTCAAGCAACTTGAGAAACGATAAGCCCTATATATATATGAGAAAAATATTTCTCAAGTTGCTTGAGATATATTTATTTTCGGTTACTCCAAAACTACGTCGTTTTGTTTATTTATTACCTTATATTAATTGATTCACCTTTAAATGATTATGATTCTCTTTTTCTCTCTCTTCCTTTATCACCATTGATCCATATTTGTACGATTATTATAAAAGAATAAATTTTATTATTATAAAAAATTCAAAATAAATAAATATTAATCGAGTCATTCCAATTAAAAGAATAAATTTTATTTGAGAAATCCAAGTTACCTATATTTTAAAAAATAAAAATAATTATTTACATTTGTAAGGTATAACTTTTATAAAAATATAATTTTAAAAATATCTTAAAATTTAATATTGAAAAATATTTCTTAATTAATTGTCTACATCACATATAATTTAAAAATAATATCATATTTAAAATCTATTATTTATGTAAGTCATATTTTTAAATAATGACCTACTCTTTTATAATTTTTTTCTTAAATTTATAATATTTTAATAATTTCATAAAGTTACAATATTTTAGTAAAAAATCACGGTATCTTTCATGGGGGAAATTTTATTCGAGTCAATAACATTCATATTATGGTATGGCTAACTCTCCCAAAGGGAATATTTTGTGTTAGACTTGTTAGACTTGTTGGTCAGTCAAACCATATGGCAGTCGATGTATAATATATATTTTTCTCATAATTGCTTCGTGCGAGGATCTATACGAGATAATGATAATGCATTTTAATTAATATATTTTTCCAATTGTTTACTTTTTTCCCTCATGTTGGAAAGAATAATAACAATCTCACGAGCATTATAAAGACAAATTGTCTTTATAATATAATCAAGGAATTATGTTCTTAATATTATCATTTGAGAAAACAATCTCACGAATTGATAGTAAACGTACCATTTTGTAGATTCATCTAAAATTCATATAATATTTGAAAGGTCCACATGATGGATGAATGACCCATATATTTCACCCTAAATTAACTATGAATATTGTACTCTTTTTTCCTTCACTAAATTTTTATCGCACTGGTTTTTCCTTAGCAAGGTTTCAGTGAGACAAATTTATAATATATAGTCATCCAAAGGAAAATGTTGTAAAACATTAATTTACATGTCGATGACTATTAGAATTTCAGAAGATTTATGTTATGACCGTTTGCTTGCACGTGACTTTTGGTATGAATTGTAACCATCATGCATAATATTGCATTGATGTGTAATTTGTCTCCTTATTCATTCTTGTCTTATATAAGGACATGTATTCTATGAAAAATGAAAAATAAGAATGGTGATATTCCCTACTTTCTTAAGAGTTCATGCTTTGATCTTATTTATTTTTTCTCCTTTTATTTCATACTCTCTTTACTCTCTCTCTCTCCTTCTCTTGTCTTTACTATATTGTAGTTACCTTTAGTTTTATAACATGTTATCAGGACGATGTCAACATTCTTTAATAATTTAAGGTTCATGATCATTATCATTGATATTCTTAGAAGCAATTACATATGCAAAAACATTATCAACAATAATATCATATCTTCATATTTCCAATGTTTAATGAGAACTCATAACATTCAAGTACCGAGATCACTTCTGGAGTTGCTTTTTTCTAGAAATATGAAATAGTTAATTTATACTATCATTGACCTCTTAAGTCTTAAGGAGTGTCACTTTGAAATTTCTCTTCTTTTGTCAAAGAGTAATATGCTTTGCATTAATAGACCACGCTTCTAGTATACTTTATATTCAATAGTTATCATACTCTAAGGGCGTCCTTCAGGGACAATTAATCTCACAATAATATTAGCAATTAGTACATATGATTTTGTGTTTTTTTGGGCATTTGTAAAAATTTATGACAATTGACATTCAACAAATGAATTTTCTTTGAACTTTAAGTTAACATTGATATGTGTTTATATCCAGAGCGGCCAATGTTGGTATTTTCCAACAAATTTTTGTGCTTTTTTATTCCCTCGATAACCAAAAATAAAAAAACTAATAATAGACTGTGAGTCAAACCTAACACATATTTTAAGAGACTTTGTAGAAGCATCTTAGTTCCTATAGATGGTGTAATATGGCATAACATAATTCAAATTTCTAAGATGAGATATATTAGGTTGTTAATTAAACACAAATTACAAGGGTGAAAACTTGTGATACACAAATGGTGACATACAAACCAAAGATGCAACATATACTATAGCATATTCCCAAGTAGATGTAAATGTTCATCTCATAAGCATAGTCCACAAATTAATTTTAAATCAATTTTTTTAATGTAGCTATTTTGAAAATAAATACATACATTAAAATTGTTGATACTAATTTATATTGATATGCACTAATCAAAAAATATTTTTGAAGTATATTGATATGATATTTATGCACAATACTATTTATCTTGCATACCATCATGATATTTTATATTTTTAATTAATGCTTTCATTATTTACTTTCAATTTAAAATATTGTTAAAATAAATATTAGAGCGGAATGAAAATATCTTATGTTTTTTATTTTATTTTTGGGTTTAATGTTTATCCTTTTAAAGAACATAAATTTATGTTATTTTAGAAGAAAAAAAGACAAACAATAAAAATCATAAAACAAAAAATGAGTGATTTTTTTATTTAAATTTTAAATAAAAAATATTAATTTGTACCTTTATCTGTCTTAAAAATGACATATCAAAAATATTTTTTTCTTTTTTTTATTACAATTGAACCCAAATAGTAAGCAGTTAGAGCTTTGACAATTCTGACTCTCCAGATCGCTCTCTCGTAACGAAGAAGAAACAGAGTGTGCAGATTCCAATTCCCAAACCATGAAGTCCAATCCAACACTCTCTCCAACCATCAGGTTCTTTCAATTTTCATCCACATTCTCGTATTTTCTCACTATTTCTCTTTCACTATCACAGCATCCCTTCTCAAACGTTACGTGCTGATTATATAATCTCATTCGGATCCCCTCAATTTGATGCTCAATTCATTCGATTCAATTTAATTCTTCATTTTCTGTTATTTCTTTTTTTCTATAATCGGTTTCGATTTCGCGGATGTTGAGCTGTCGGTGAACGTGCCTTGGAGCCCAAGGTTCCAACGTTGATGAATCATGAATGCTTTTCCATTTTTTAATTTTATTATTTTGCAGGAACGGTGGTGTTTAATGGGTAGTGGAAAATGCAGCGTGCTCCGGTGACCGTTGAGCAAAAGTTGTTGGAAAAAGCGATCCAGGAAGAATGTCCATGGGAGAATCTTCCCAGGCGACTTCAACCAATTGTGTCTTCCAAGGAAGAATGGAACACAAGGTTAGAGATAACCTTCCATCCCACGTTTTCTTGTAAAATCTTATTCTTTTCTTTACTCTAGTAGGTATGTTATATGGGTTTAACATTTCTAATTTTACCGTAGAAATTTTTTCTCTGCTACACTTACATAAAAGTCAATCAATTCTACTAATTTTTTCTCTTTACTTTTCAAAATGGGGCCAATTTAATTTTATGTGAACGTGGTAGAGAAAACATTTCTTCAGGAAAAAGCAAAAATGTTTTTCCCATGTTATATATATTGTCATTTTTAGACTTCATAGTTAATACTCAGTAGTTACCCAATGTAGTTATTTATCACTGTTGAAAGAGCAATTAATTTGTCATCTAACTCTGTACCACTGAACATTGCATTCCTATGACTTTGAGGGTGTTCTGCTCATGCCCTTTTTTGGGGGCTGTTTTTATTATTGATGTTCAAAGGGATTGGAGAGCATTTCTGTACTCTTCCATAACTCTTATTATAATGCAACTTCTTGAAAGAATTTGTATTGTATTATAGTACTGTTTCCTGTAAGACGTTTAAATAAAGTCAAACCCTACTACTACTCACAATATGAAATTTTTTCATCCTCTATGTTTGTGTGTGGGCGTGTGAGAAGGTGGGATTACACACAACTTCTTAAGTTGCATCAGTGAAATTATGGTAGTAGACAAGGCACTTTAAACGAAACCAGAAAAGCTAAGAGCTCAGGGAAGAGAACAGAAAAGCTAGGAGAAGAGAGACTCTCATATTGGAACGTATTTCATCGATTACAAAAGCTGTACAATAGATCTATTTATAGATCAGTGATTGAGAGGATAATCAGTTGCCTTTGGTGCAACTGAATCCGTGAATAGTGGAGCAGTCACTAACAACTTGAACTAACAAAGTAACTGAAAGCTAAGTGCGCTAACTAAACTAAGTGCACTGTAATGAATTAGCTGATTTACAATACTGTATACTCTAATATTCCCCCCTCAAGCTCAAGGAGGATGTAGCAATGATGTGTGATCAAAAACCTTGAGCTTGTCTCTGAGTTCTCCAAATCTTGCAGCAGACAAAGGCTTGGTAAACGTATCAGCAACTTGCAGTGGACCAGGAATGTGTTGTACTATAAGGGATTTTGCCATAACTTTCTCCCTTACAAAAAAGAGATCAAGCTCCATATGTTTGGTCCTGGAATGGAGAACAAGATTGTGTGCTAGAGCAACCGTGCTTTGGTTGTCACAATAAATAACTGGAACTTTAATAGGAACCTGTAATTCCTTCAATAAGGACTGAACCCACCACATTTCAGCTGCAGCATGTGCAAGACTTCTATACTCAGCCTCAGCACTAGAACGAGCCACAAGAGTTTGCTTCTTTGCCCACCAAGAAATGGGATTAGAACCTAAGAACACACATGCACCTGATGTAGATCTTTTGTCATCCGGATCTGCACCCCAGTCAGCATCACAAAACGCCACAAGTGAGAGTGGTTGATGCTTGGAAGGAGGATGAAACAGAAGCCCATAAGAGATGGTTCCTTTGAGATATCTAAGAATCCGTTTGACAATTTTCCAATGCTCCTCTAGTGGTTGAGAGAGAAACTGACACACCTTGTTGACACTGAAAGCTATCTCAGGTCTGGTCAAAGTAGCATATTGCAAAGCTCCTACAATCGATCTGTAGAGTGAGGGATCCGAGACATAATGAGAACCATGTTTACTTAATTTGCAGCTGCTAGGCATGGGAGTAGATATACTCTTGGAATCTGTCATACCAGCCTTGTGCAGAACATCTTTGATGTACTTTGACTGAGACAAAAAAAGTCTTCCATTAGAAAGTGATTTGACTTCAATGCCAAGGAAGTAATCCAAATTACCAAGTTGTTTGAGAGCAAACTTGGAGTTTAGCTGATCAGTGAGATGTTGTATGAGATCAGAGTTGCTACCAGTGATTATAATATCATCTACATAAACCAAAATGTAGATGCAATGACCATTGGAACGAAGAATGAAGAGAGAAGGATCACATTCGCTAGAGACAAAGCCAAGCTGATGAAGTGCTGCTTGAAATTTCTCAAACCAAGCCCTTGGAGCTTGTTTGAGACCATATATGGCTTTATCAAGTTTGCAAACTAATGACAAGTCAGTAACCTCAAAACCAGGAGGTTGAGTCATGTAGACTTCTTCCAAGAGTTCTCCATTGAGAAATGCATTGTTAACATCTAATTGCTTTAAGGGCCAACCATTAGACAATGCTAAGGTTAGCATAACACGAACAGTAATGGGTTTAACAACTGGAGAAAAGGTTTCATTGTAGTCAAAACCATGTTGTTGATGGAAACCTTTGGCAACAAGCCTAGCCTTGTATTTATTGATAGTCCCATCCGGATTTTCTTTAATGCGAAATACCCATTTGCAGCCAATAGGTTGTCTAGAGGGAGGTAGAGGGATGAGAGACCAAGTGTTGTTAGCAAGGAGAGCATTATACTCACCATTCAGGAACTAGTAGTGCTTGTTTGACAATGGTTGGCTCCATATGAGCAGTGAATAAGGAAGGAGCAGGACCTTTGGATCTTGTAAAAAAAGTGTGAGTTGGAGAGTAAGGCCTGAGGTTACGTGGAGGAACATAGTCAGATCCTGATGTGAGAGGTGGAGTGGAGGAAGAAGCTGATAAAGGAGACTCAGTGAGGGAAGGACAGAAATTAGTAAGGACAGGAGTGGATAATGGAGTAGAGCCAGGACTAATGTTGATGTTGACTATACCAGGAGGTGAAGGAGACTGAGGACTCGAAGTAGCTGATGCATCTGTGATAGGTAGAGTGGCTGGTCCAGGAGAAGGAAGGTGTGTAAGGGGTTGTGCTGCTGTATCTGAGATGGGAAGACTTGCTGGTCCAGGAGAGGAAATATGAAGAATAGGCTGTGTGGTACAGTGTGATGTTTGATGAGAGCAATGGGGTGCAGGAGATGAGACCCGTGATTGTTGAATAAGGGAAGCATTGGGGAAAGAGTAAAAGGAAGGAAGGATGTTGCTAGAATAAGAGGCTGAATTTTGGATAGGTGTAACAGAAGCTGAGTCTGAGGGAAACAAAGCTGAAAATGGAAATTTATTTTCATTGAAAATGACATCTTTGGATATATAGAGTTTTCCATCTGGACTAAGGCATCTGTACCCTTTGTGGTTAGAGGAGTAGCCTGGAAAGACGCACTCATGGGACCGAAAGTTAAACTTGTGCTTGTTGTATGGTCGAAGAAGGGGAAAGCAGGAGCATCCAAAAGTTCAAAGGAAATGGTAATTAGGAAGAGACTTATAAAGAGCAAAGTGTGGAATTTGAAATTGTAAAGCTGGTGTAGGTAGTTTGTTAACTAAGTATACAGCAGTAAGAAAGGCATGGTCCCAAAATTTTAGAGGAAGAGATGCATGAGCAAGAAGAGTGAGACCCATGTCAACTATATGCCTATGTTTCCTCTCAACTAGACCATTTTGATGGTGTGTGTGAGGGCAAATTAATCGATGAGTAATGCCCATTTCAGTAAGGAACTTGGTAAAGGGGCGAAATTCACCACCCCAGTCTGTTTGAACAGACTTGATGACCTGCTTAAATTGTGTAGATATTAAGGAATGAAAATTTTTGAAGACAAGTAAGGATTCAGACTTGTGTTTGAGTAGATAAATCCAAGTAAATCGTGTAGTGACGTCAACAAAGGTGATGTAATACGAAAAGCCTTGAGAGGACTGAACAGGAGCTGGTCCCCACAAGTCACTGATTATAAGTTGAAAAGGTTCATTATATTCTGTAGAGGAAGGGGAAGAAGGTAACCTATGAGACTTTCCCATACAGCATGCTGAACAGAATTCAGGAACATTCTTATTACTCAGTGAAATATTACAATGAGATAGAACCTTTTTCAAGGATTCAAAGTGTGGATGTCCTAATCTGGAATGCCAGATACTACAATTCACAGATGCATCAGTACAGACTGTATTACAGGACAAAGGTTTACAAACAGACTTGAATGAGTTAACAGAATTATTGGACACTGAATTACAAACTGATGGATTACAATTGAACACTGTATTAATAGAATTATTTGAAAGAGAAGGAGATCTTGAACAGGTTTGAGACACAGCTGGAGTAGTAGCTTGAAGACCTTTGAATTTGTAAAGTCCATCAAGTCCAAGAGAGCCTTCAAGTAAGACCTCCTGAGACTCCTGTGATTTGACAAAACAATGAGTAGCATGGAATTCAAAATAGACATTGTTATCCTTGGCAAACTGACTAACACTCATGAGATTTTTGGTTATTTTTGGAACTAGGAGAAGATTATGTAAATTAAAAGAAGCATATGGTGGAAGTGAGGAACGAAAAGAACTAGAACCAATAGAGGTGATTGACAAACCTTGGCCATTACCAACAAAAATTTGATCTGGACCATCATATTGAGAACTCTGCATCAAACTTGTTGGATTAGAAGTCACATGATGTGAGGCTCCTGAGTCAGGATACCAGTCCAAGGCCAGCTGGTTATTCACAGTTCCAATAGGTGCACGGGAAGGGCCAACTTGTGAGAAATTGACTTGAGGTTGCACTGCTTGTGAGAAACTGCCTGGAGTCTGTACATTAGGAAAGGATCCAGGAAAAGCAGGGAAATAGTTCCAACTAGGATGAGGTGAATCTTGCGAAACAGCTAAGTTTGCTGTTGCTGGAAAGTTCACTGGAGGAGTGTGTGCTGTCATTGGAAATTGAGAAGGAGATCCTTGATTGTACCTCCACCAGCAGTTTGTGGCTTCATGACCACTCTTTCGGCATAGTTGACAAGTGACAAAGAACCTTCCAGTACTCCTGCCACCTCGATATCTACCTCTACCACCACGCCAACTACCACGAGTTGGCTGTGTGTAAGGTCTGAAAGCATTTCCTTGTTCATAAGGATTTTGTTGAACTGGTGCTTGTGGTCTGTTATGTACTTGTTCATGAACACTAGCAGTGGTAGACAGCAAAGGAGGATGATGAACCACATTTACAGAATTGAGACTTAAAGCACTGGATTGAAACTTGGTAAGCATGGCCTCTTGAGCCAGAATTTGAGATTCAAGATCATCAAAATTGCCTGAATCTCTGCCTCTGAAATATGTGATAAAAGGACCGTATTCTTCAGGTAATCCTTCAAGAACTGTTCGAACAAGCTCTTTATCAGTGATTGGCTCACCTATTGCAATCAAGGTGTCACCAAGTGCCTTTACACGAGCCAGGAATTCTTCAATGCTTCTGTCACCTTTCTTGATGTTCTTGAGTTCGGAGCTAACCTGATTTGCTTTAGCTTTGGTAACTGAATCAAAATATTTGTGGATTTTGTCCCAAGCTTGATGAGACTGACGCACTCCAAGGATCTTGTTGATTATATCCTCTGAGAGAGTAGATTGAAGCCAAGTGAGAAGCATTTTATCAGTTTTCTCCCATTCAACAAATGCTGGATTAACTTGCTCAGCTACACGATCTTCATTTGACAAGAAACGCAACGGAATATGAGGATTAATCAGAAAACGTTCTAGTTGATGAGCTATTATCGGTGGTTCAACAATTTGTTTCCATAACAGAAAGTTTTTGTTCGTCAACTTTACTGACAATTGAGTGTTGAAAAATATAGGAGATCTTGAGTCATTGGAGGTAGTAGGAGAACGAGAAGGAGATGAGGAAGCTATATTAGGATTTTGTGATGTAGCGGAAGCCATGGTGAAGCAAGAAAAATGGATCAGGGCCCAAGATTGGAGCTCTGATACCATAAACGAAACCAGAAAAGCTAAGAGCTCAGGGAAGAGAACAGAAAAGCTAGGAGAAGAGAGACTCTCATATTGGAACGTATTTCATCGATTACAAAAGCTGTACAATAGATCTATTTATAGATCAGTGATTGAGAGGATAATCAGTTGCCTTTGGTGCAACTGAATCCGTGAATAGTGGAGCAGTCACTAACAACTTGAACTAACAAAGTAACTGAAAGCTAAGTGCGCTAACTAAACTAAGTGCACTGTAATGAATTAGCTGATTTACAATACTGTATACTCTAATACACTTAATGAAGATTTTCATGTGCTTGTTCACTAGTCTAGTTATTTTTTTTGGTTCCAAGAAACATCTTTTAACTGTATGAGTAGAATAAATTTGCAATGCAATGAGGAAACTTTTGATTTTCAAAGGCTGTAGAACCTTTAACTAGACAACCAAAATCTACCCCCAAGAAACAATAACGTTTGATTTTGAGAGCTAATTCTCATTTACTGTTTTTTTTCTTTAATTATGTTTTCATAAGGTCATACACTCCATTCATTTCAGGGCTCACGTGTCAATTCCTTTAATAACTTTTTGTTTTTTGGTAAGTACATAATTATAATACTGCCTTCTGTATGGCTGGCCATCGAAATTTGATGCAGGATAATTGAATACTGCATAAAGAAGAGACTTCAATGGAATAGTTGTTTTGCCCGTAAAGTTTGTAAAGAAGGCGAATATTATGAAGATATGATGCGCTACTTGCGAAAGAATCTAGCTGTATGTGCTGTACCGAATGTCTGTTTGATTCCTCCTACTGAAATTTTAAATTGTCTATCAAATGCACTGTCACAAAACTTTATATGCCTATGTTCTTATTCACGTGATCAGAAAACTATGATAGAATTTTTGGGGAGAAAATTGAAGTTCGTTATGCTTCGAAAATTAGAATTGTGATGTTGCAACTAAGAACAGATCTTAGTTTCTCTGTAGTTTTAGGATCAGTTTTTGATGAATAAATTAATTGAATTACCACTCGTTTTTATAAAAAAAATAAAAATAAATTGTTCATCTTCATATTTAATATTTAAGAACTCCAGATATAACTAGCACTTCCTGGATTTTAGGCAGCGCTCTCATCTTTTGCTTTTGTTGTACGACAACTGCATTTAATGTGCTTGTTCTCACTTGCAGCTATTTCCTTATCATCTGTCGGAGTACGTGTGCCGTGTAATGAGAGTATCACCTTTCAGATATTACTGTGATATGATTTTTGAAGTAATGAAAAATGGTAACTTTGCTACTTGCTTGTTGCAATCCCAACTGAATTAACTACATGAAGGTCGTGCTTAGTTCTTTCTATATATGGCATGAAATTGAGGGATTTTTTTCTTGATTATTATTTCAAGAGAAAAAATGGTTTTTTACCAATAAGAATTAATAGATACTTTTGAAGCCACTAAGATTAGTCTAATATTGGTGAGGGAGTTTAGGTAAGTTGTATTACGTTATGTTTTCAATTCTCATTTGTATTAAAAAAAAAAAAGAATAGATACTTTTGTGGCTTTCCTTTTGCCATTAGGCCTTTCAATTGATTTACAGTACTTGTAATGTACGACTATATTATAATTAAAAAGCATAAATTAAAAGAAAAATATTTAAGAAAAAGTTTAAACTTGTGAAGAATATATGCATTATTAATTAAAAAAATGAATTTCAAATTTTAAAGAAAAAAAGTTAGGGTATAGAAAGGTGAATTAGACCAAGAGATTAAGCTACTCTCAAAGAGAGTGGACTCTAATTTAATATAGAAAGGTGAACAGTTGAAGTAGAGTATAGAATGTTAAAATGTCAATTTTTTTTATTTTTTTTTTGGTGAGGAAAATGTAAATTTGTTTTGATATAATTTCTAATCGTCATAATTATATCATAATATATGCATGATCTATAGGAATTTATTATTTATCATTGATTATTTTATGCTTGTATTGTTTTCTCCCTCACTTGTTCGATAGTCCTGCTATAAGATAAGATAAATATGTTGAATAGTAAAGGTTTGTTTGAACGAAAGATGACCTTTAAAAATTTCCTGCTTGTTTTTATTATTTACAGAGCAACCTTACGATAGCATCCCGAATTTTAGTGCTGCAGATGCTTTAAGACTTACAGGAATTGGGAGAAATGAATTTATTGATATAATGAACAAGTGCAGATCCAAGGTACTGCATTGATTTGCCTGTATGTTACATATATGCAAATTTAATACTTGGATTTCCTGTATACTTGTAGCATTTTTGTTTAATTACTTGTTGCAATCATAGTATATGACTATCTGTTGGGAGTATTGAACAATGAGTGACTAGCATAGATGCTAACGTTTTATCTACGGACTAATGGGTAGAGACGACTGGCTAGGGGGAGCCCAGTATCTCCCGCCAACATTCTGATAATGAAAATCAGGAATGTGTGCGTAAACACCTCGGAGATAGTGTAAGCTCTGGATTCTAGTAATTAGCCAATGCTTAATGTCCAAATTAGCTTCTGTCCCTGTTCTAGCCTATTATTATAAGGCCTTGGTGGCAGTTGAGAGGGCGTGAGAAGATCCAAAGCAAAAGTCTCGCAGGTGGTGATCATGATTCATGAGTGTAGTAGTGATGATCAAGAGATCGTGGGACGCAGTTCGACGACTCGGGTTAGGAGGCTATGGTGGGCTCCTGCACAAGCCGAGTGCCGACTTGGCTGCATACGTCTTCCTAAGCTTGCAGTACCTTACCTTTAGGTTGAGTAGGTCTTCCGGGAGCTCATCCCCGAAGTCCTTCATTCGGGAACTCACCCCGGATCAGTATCCATATTTCCTTCTATTCTAAATACAAAAGAAAAACTTTTAAAAAGCTTCATATAAGCTGACATTAACATAAAGTCGATGCCAAATCAAAGATGGCTCAATGGCTATCTTGTTCATCAGGTACTTCTCTAGTGGCTTTGATACTATTTAAAAAGCTATCATTTAGGTTTTACGTCCATGCATGACAGACATAGGTATGCATTATATAATCTCTATGACATTACTTAGGAAGGATAATCTGTAATTTTTTTCTTAACCTGCTGTGGAACATGAAACCAGGATAATTAGGAAAGTTGTAGAAAGAGAAGAATTTGGAGAAAGAAGGAAAAGCCTTGAAGGAGAAAGGCAATTTCTTTCATTTGTGCAATTATATGCCTTTGACCGGACTTGCAGCAAGCATGATGAACCATCCTATCGATTTGTATATTTACTGTCTTTCAATTTGTTCCTCATAAATTTGAATCTGTGAGGTCACTGACTTTATGCCTCTTGTCTGGATAATGATTTGGATTTGCACAATAGCCTCAGCTGGTTTTGGTCATGCCATTATGTTCAAAGGTAGGCTTGCAATTTATAATGATTCGTATCTCATCTGTCAATTGCTCTTTTGGAATATCCAGAAAATAATGTGGAAACTGAACAAGTCAATAGCAAAAGAACTTTTGCCTACTCAACCTGTGGATTTTCCAATTGAACCGTGGTGGAGAGTTTGTCTTGTGAACTTTACCTTGGAGGAATTTAAGGTGTGGTATGTCTTTCTCCCCTATTAAACAGAGGAGGGTTTACTATTATATTGTTCATTGGCAATGAGAAATAACTTCTGTATTTTTTTGCTTGATACTTTTTAATTTCTTCTCTCACCTGTTCTTCTGCTTTAATAGAAACTCTCAGAAGAGGAGATGGCCACAATAGACAAAGTCTGCAAGGAGGAAGCAAATTCATTTGTTAAGCTTGATCCTAACATTGTAAGGGGTTTTTGCAGACGAGGACTGATTTATTTTGATGTTCCTGTATGTCCTGATGATCGGATTAAAGGTGTGTTCTATTTGTTTTTGTTTTGTTCTATGTTAACTTATAGGTGTTACTTTGTTGATGCCCTTTACAAAGGTATAATTCCTATGAGTTTATGTTTAAATAAGTAGGGCTGTTCATCTGTTCACTTTGTTGACTCCGAACAATTAGCCACATATAGGAAAAACCTTTCTAGGGTAAAAAGGTTAAAATAAAAAATACAAAATTATAGCAATTTAAAACATATTTACAAATGTATAGCAACTAGTTGTGCCCAAAATGGGGCGCCTAATTTTAGGCACGACATAAAGGCAATTGCGCTCAAATTTGGGTACAACTCACACGATGATGACACGTGGCATGAAATTTTGGAAGTTTTTTTACCCTAAGGGGGCGTTTGGTAGAGGAGAAATATTTTTGTGCCAGAGAAATATAATTACTAGGGAACTGGTAAGAAAATGAGTTTGGTAGGAAAATGAAAAAAAGTTGTTTGGTAGGCCAAAAAATTACTGGAAAAATTGATTTAAATTTTCTAAATCTATGTTTGGTTGATGGAAAAATATTGATAAGAAAATAGAATTAAATTACCATCACAACCCTTAAATTACCATAACAAAGGTGGCATTGGACCCTCTTTCCAGAAGATGGCACCTAAAAAGTGGTATTATCCGATAGTATTTTGGTCATTTTAGTCTCTTGGTCTCTTGGTTCACACTGTCCTTTTTCGATTTTCATGGGAAACAAGCAAATACCACCTAAAAAGTGGTATTATCCAATAGTATTTTTACACACAAAAAGCAATTACTATGCAAATCCTTTTCCTATCTAAATTTTTGAAAACCTAATACCAAACATAGTCATCTAAAAACACCACATCCATTTGCCTAGGTATCTTCTACAAAACCTCCTACCAAACACACCTTAAAACTTTATAGCAACTTTATAAGGTTATAACTTTTGCCTTACGGGGGCGTTTGGTTCAGGAAATTTTTTTAGAATAGTAGGAAAATGAGATAGATAGAGAAATGATTGGAAAGATAGATAAAGTGAGATATGTAGAAAAATGTAAAAAAAAAAGTTGTTTGGTGGGGAAAAACTTTACTGGGAAAATTAGGTAACTTTATGAAATCAACAGTGCATTAAAAGCCAGATAACCAGTTTTCCGAAAAATCCCACCTTCAAATTGTGTTTCTAAACAGTGGGGATATCTATGTTTCTCATAAATCCAGACAAATTGGATAGATGAGTTTTTGGTGAAAAACATTGAAACAAACATGGTGTTTCTAAAAGCCATAGTTGAGAAAGATAGATATCCGCTAAAAAGCTCCCAACCAAACACCACCTAAGTGTCCGAAATGATTTTTTTTTATTCCACATAATTTTTTGAGATATAAGCGCTGGCAAATCCACATAATTTTTTTTTTGTACATTGTCAGGATCTCTGCATTATATGTAGGATTTGTGGATTAGAGAATTTGTGTAATTTTTTTAATAAGTTGTGTCATTACACAATTATGTGATTTATTAGCGCGTAGATCTTAAAAAGTTACATGGAATACAAAAAAATATCCGATTCGGACACCTAAGCCAAAAATAATGGTCTTTCAAAATTTTGTACCACGTGTCCTTCTCGTGTGATTTGACCCCAAATTTGGGCACCGCTGCCCTCCAATCGCGCCTAAAGTTGGGCGCGATCAGTTGTGTGTGCCACGTGTCATCATCATGTGATTTGGGCGCAACTCCCCTCCGGTCATGCCCAAAATTGGGTGTGACCAATTGTCCCATTTTAGGCGCAACTTGTTGCTACACATTCATAAATAGATTTTAAATTGCTAAAATTTTGTATTTTTTATTTAAATTACCATATTTTAATTTTTTTACCACCTAGTAATGTTTTTTTAGTAAAAATAACTAGGCCAGGCAGCCAAAATTGGGCCTTGCGGACGGTCCATGAATAATTTTTATTTTAAAGAAACAATATCCCTTTTAATTTTAAAATATGTCTAAAAGATTTTAATTAGATATGTTTTTTTTAAAAAAAAAAAAAAACTAAATCTCAGAGAAAAGAGTTTTAACAATTTGTTAAAAAAAGTATCTTCTGAAAAATAAAAAACTATAACACAAAGATTTTATATATATATATATATATATATATATATATATATATATATATATAGTTTATCCAAATACAACATAAGATGCATGACCTCTGTGCCCTTTTTGTCACATAAAAAAAAAAGAATAAAAGAAGTTGAAAGTCATATTGATATTTTTATAAGGAAAAAAAAAAGAGGTCTGATGTTTTTCAGAAAAAAAAATACTTAATGTAGCAGTGCAGAATTGATGCAAAAAGAATTATACTTCTTTTAGAAATTTACTTTATGTAACATTTTACTTTATTTAATATTTTAAAAATTAGACAAGACAAGTTAGTTGAACTGGTCAAAAACCACTCCAGCTCAATTATGCTTCAACTACAAATTTAATCGGTTAAATTAATTGAACTATAATATATATGTTTCAATAATTTAATCTCTTAGTTTATGTTTAAAATATTGTCTTTAGTGTTGTTTATGTAATACCATATTTAAATCCATTTTATCATGGTGTGCTTTTAATAATGTAGCAGTTCCTTTTAGAAGAGATTTTACTTTTTCCTGGAGTTGATTAGTTTATGATTGCTTTGCGTGTAGGCAATGTTGTTATGGACAAATAACTTGATATTTAAGAACATTAGACTTGCTGAATAAAACAAATGTTTTAAAAAAATATATGTATTTTCTTTTTGCAATTTTTATTTTGTATTAAAGTGCCCCAATTATTTAATTTTGTTATAAGACTTAAACATGTTGTACTATATGCATGGTTTTATATTCAATTCGGTTACAAAATGATAAGTGTATAATAAAGATAAAAATAGTGGAAGGAAGATATACTTATATTGTAGGCTGCTATTTTCAAAGGCTCTGTCTCTGCAAATGATTTCAACAATATTTATATTTATGGTGGTTCAGTTTCCGGGCTTGAAGGCTTTGTTTCCAACAGGGAGCAGTCTTATGAAGATCCTATTGAAGAGTAAAGCAGTTGTTTCAGTTGAAGTTTCCATCATTTTTGTTCAAAGTGTTATTTCCATGTAGTTCGAGTCTAATGCTAGACCTTTTTCTTTCAGGTTGTTGTATGCAGTTTTTGTTGTTTCAAATGAAAATGCAACTGTTAGTGAGTTGGCAACAACACTACAGGCTGACTTGTCACAACTGCAGGCTACTGCTGCTTTTGTGTGTAGATTGGGATGGGCAACAAAAGTAATTGATCCCGCATCTATTCTTGGAGATACAAGTATGCCTGTATCTCCTAGAAGTACAGTCAGTGACGAAGATGCTTCTGTTGCTAGTCAGGGTTCAGATAATATACTTGTTGATAATGACTCCATTCAACAAGGGGATACTTCAGGTTCAGGGAACTACGGTCCTCGTTCTGCCTGTACTCGTGTGGCTTTCATAGTTGATGCTAATATTACATCCTATCTGATGATGGGATCTGTTTCACCAGGTTTATACCTTAATTATGACCTTTTATTGATGGTTTGGATGACTAAGCTGTCATTTTTAGTTACGTCTCATGCAGATATTTCCTAGCCCTACAATCTAGTTTTACCATTTAGTTTGGATAGTTTTGAGTGTATTTGTACAATAATGTTTTTCAAGCTTCCAAGTTCCAACATTTGCCAGTTGCTGTTTTGCTATACATCGAAGTTTGTGACAAAGCCTAAATTTTTCTTCCATTACCGGTAGCCTTTGTTTTGAGGGATAAATAAAAATTTGATAGCAATCTGGTTATGTGTAGAATTGATTTCCAGAGTTTAATAAGTAACCCCGCTTTGCCCGACCGAATATATAGATTTAATCAATAGTTTTTCAAGGATATCGGAAGAATTTAACAAAAAAGTCCTGCTGTTGTTTGCTTATTTGACAATGTTCTTACTTGTTGATAGCATAGAAAACCACTCATGTGAACCCATTTCAGGACAGGAATGAGAAATATGATATACCTGTCATCTAAGGCATGTATTGTAATATGTAATCCTAGTATCTGAAAATAAAAATCAAGGTAAAACTCAACTTTAATAACTTTGTGTTCAGCCATAAAAATATATTCCAGTTTCCCATATTTTTTTTCCATTTTTGGTTTTTGCAACTTACGGTGTCAACTTGTATCATATAAATAATATGCATGAATAACAAATATAAGCGAGGATTTCAAAGTTATATTAGCTTTGGAATTTGAGTGATTAATTTCAATTTTTCTGTTTTTTCGGACCTTTTTCCTTTCGAGGAGGTTTTCTCTTCTTCCCCCGCCCCTTTTTATGGACTCTACAAGTATGCTGGTGAACATAAGTGAGCTAGTTGCTTATTACTCCTAGCCTTCAATCTCATTATTGTCTTTATGCTACTTGCAAAAGGGAAACTTATTGAGCCAAACATTGACCTCAAAATTCATGGGCATGTCATTTACTTTGATTATTGATTGATTAATCTGTGTATGTGCTGCTTATTATGCCAAGGCAGTAAAATCTTTCTTTTGGGCTACTCATTATGAGTTTGCTTGTTATCTGACTTGCTATGTGTCTGAGAGTTGGTTTGGTTTGTACGTTTGAACAAAATCCTACTTCTTGCTGAACCTTGTCAGGCCTGAAATCTCATGCTGTTACACTCTATGAAGCGGGGAAGTTGGGTCATGCCAGCATTGCTGATCTTTGCAAGGATCTTAGTACATTGGAGAGTGCAACATTTGAGGGAGAACTACAGGAATTTGCAGATCATGCATTTAGTCTACGTGTTGTATTAGAATGTCTACAATCAGATGGAATAGCTACCGATAAAAAAGATGAGGGAGGTTTGGATAAGCCGGGTATGATTACCTCAAGCAATGATGAGTCAAATTCTGTGATAGATGAAATCTCCTTGGCTGAAAATTCAGGAAACTCTGGTGTTACGGAAGCTGTAATAAATAATGATGATTTAATAAATGTTGATTCAGAGAAGCTTGTGGAGGCTTCCGTTCACTCTGAATCTGTTCCTAGCGGTATGGATGGTGGAAACCATTCTATTACTTTGGAAGATGACAGTAGTCATATTCATGAAACTGACAAGTCAGGCGCAAACTTCCAGGGCAATGAGAAACTAGTAGTAGTTGAAGGGTCAGATGTTGAAGCAGAAATGCTAAAGAGGAAAAAGAAATGTTGTGTAGACATTCTTCGCTCTGAAAGCTTGGCTTCTCTTGCTCCGGCAACTCTGAATCGTTTGTTTCTTCGTGACTATGATATACTTGTGCCCGTAGTGCCTCTTCCTCATTCATCAATTCTTCCCGGACCCACAGGTCCAGTTCATTTTGGTCCTCCCACATATTCTTCTTTGAGTCCTTGGATGAAATTGGTATTATATTCAACTGCAGCTAGTGGGCCTCTATCAGTTGTTTTGATGAAAGGACAGTGTCTGCGTTTCCTTCCTCCTCCATTGGCTGGTTGTGAGAAAGCCCTTATATGGTCTTGGGATGGTTCCACAATAGGAGGGTTAGGAAGGAAGCTTGAAGGGAATTTAGTGAAGGGAAGTATAGTCTTGCATTGTTTAAATTCACTCCTTAAACATTCAGCTGTGCTGGTGCTGCCTCTCAGCAGGTGTGATCTTAACGAGTCTGGAAAAGTGATTACTTTGGATGTCCCTTTGCCCTTAAAGAACTCCGATGGGTCAATTGCCTCTGTAGGTAAGGAGTTAGGACTATGTGAAGAGGAAAATTCGAAGTTGAATTATCTGTTGACTAATTTGGCAAACAACATGGCACTGTGGACAGTTGGTTATATTCGGCTGTTGAAATTATTTAATGGAACAGAATCAGGCCAGTTCTCTTCTGAGAAAAAGTATGAATGGGTTCCATTGAGTGTGGAATTTGGGATGCCACTATTTAGTCCAACATTGTGCAGTAATATATGTAGAAGGATAGTTTCATCTGAGATGCTTCAATCTAACTCATTTGTTGAACACCATGATGCAATGCAAAGCTTAAGGAAAAAGTTGCATGACATTTGTGCTAAGTTCCAATCAACAGGTCCCGCTGCAAAGCTTCTTTACCAGAAAGAGCAAGCTAAGGAGTATGTTGGACAACTTATGACCTATGCCAGGGGAAGGTGGAATCCACTTATGGATCCTTCTACTCCCATTTCAGGTGCATCAACTGTGCATCAGAGGTTAAAACTTGCTAATCGTCGGCGCTGCCATGCTGAAGTGTTGAGCTTTGATGGAAGTATTCTTAGGTTTGTTGCTGAACTTGTATTAATTCCATGCTTGAAGATTGCTTAATTTTTTCGTTAAATAAAATTCTATTAGCATTATCTTGGAGAACATAACAGAGAAGGATTGTTTTCTGGAAGGCTCATAATCTTGATTTCCTTATCATCCCAAGTCTGAAAAAGTGTGCTATTGAATGGTGCATGCAGATCATACGAATTAACTCCTGCTTGTGAAGCTGCCACAGGGCCCAATCAAGAAGCCCCTCAAGCCAATTCGATGAAAACTCCAGCTTGTGAAGAAAATGATAGTAAAGAAGCAATCTTTCCTGGTGTTAATCTTATTTTCGACGGTTCTGTGTTGCTTCCATTTGATATAGGTGCGTGCCTCCAGGCTCGCCAACCTATTTCCTTAATAACAGAAGCAGCAGCTGCCTCAGCGTATGTAGTAATCAAATAGGGCTACAGTCATAATAGATTACTCCACTTCGTATCTTGGATGCATATGAATAGCAATACCAGCGACTCACGTGCCAATGTTGATGTTACTGTGGTTTGTATGCCTCTTCAATATTTATGGTTATGCACAAGCTTGGGCTTATGTTGAAGGTAAGGTTCAATATTCTTCTTGATGTCCGTGTCTTTTAGCAGTTCATTGACACCTCTATGGATTTTGTACGCTCTACAACTTTAATGCATGCTGTGTTTGTTTCAGGTTTTGCTAGATCAGGAAATAAACACATCACTTAAACAATGTATATATGACAGGATTCTTCTTGTTCCTGTCACATACTTGTAGCAAGAAGGTCATTAAGGATTACGTAGCCGTTGGAAACTCCCGTATCATAAGATCTGAACTGAATTTCTTTAGCTTTAGTTGCTTCCTCGTCTGTTGCCCATGTGTAATCCAATCGTGCCTTTGGTTATATCAACTAGAATTCGCAGTTATATAATTACTTTTTTATAACATATAAATCGTGTATTACAATATATATAAGTTGCCTAAAACAGAAACTAATATGGGATCCTAATTAAACAAAAAATCATATCTCTAAAAATAAATAAAAAATACAAAGATTTATGTAAAAGATACAATCTTTTAGCGTGATGTAGTGAAGAATGTCCAACTACATTCAAGAAATAAAATTGGAGAATGTTTTGTTTGCTATAGAAAATGCATTTTTACTATTGATGGGGATGCCGAGATGTTACTGCTAGTCTGGTATAGGGGAATAATCAATTATAACTTGTGAAATTATATCACCAAAATCATGGATTAATTAATATATAAGGGGCTATTCTAGCAATCTTGAGTTTCATTCCCTCATAATTTACTTTTGTTAAAATTTAAAAGAGAAAATTTTATCTACATGGCTTAGGAAGTTATGATAAAAAAAAACTATATACTATAAAATTAGTGTTATAAATCATTATAATTGATCTAATAGTGAAGGGTTTAAATAATTTGCATGAAGTTATAGGTTTGAACCTCAGTGCCATCATTATATATAAAAAAAAAAAACTACAGTGTTATGTTATTATTGTTTAGTTATTTTATTTTGTAATGAAATTTTTATAAAATATTATATTGTATTAAAGGACAACGTCATAGGCTTTATTTAAGGGTTTTTTTTCCGTCAATAAAGCAAAGCATGTAGAGTACGGTGTCGTATTGAAGGCGTGATGACTGATGACACAAGTGAGTGAGTGGATGGGGTACTAAACGAACCGGAGGACTTTCTATAATATCCTGAGCACTGACGAGGACGGGGAGTGATCGTTGGTGCGAAAGGATATGGACAAGGAGCGACTCCTGACAGGCTTCCAGCAGGGGGTTACATGCATGAATGAATCGAATCGGTACCCGAAAGAGAGATTCTAAAGACTGTGCAAGTATGAGACTGCACAGTTTGGGATAGCTTATAAGAATTAATTGGTACTACCTATACTAACAAGATGCATCTACTTTTTGATAGCCTGGAACGGAAGAATTCCATAGTTAAGTGTGTTTGACTTGGGGCAATTATGAGATGGGTGACATCTTGAGAAGTTTTCCAGAGAAATGCGCGAGTGAGGAAAAAGCCAAAAATCCGACCTTAGAGCCTCTCAGGCTGGCCTACTATACTAACTTTTATTTGAGTAAAGCTCTTTTTGGGTCCAAACAAAAAAATATGGTCTTCACTTTCGTCCCTTACCAAAAAAAATACTCATACTAGTTATTTTTTTAAAGATTAAATTGGGTCTTCATTGAATTTCTGAGGGATCACATTTTCAAAGAACTGAAATTGTAGATGGACCAAAAGTTGACATTTTTTGTAAAGGACGAAAGTGAGGACTGTATTTTTTTGTTAGGGATCAAAAAGGGGCTTTACTCCTTTTATTTTTATTTTTATTTTTATTTTATATTTTTTATACTACTCATAATAGCCTTCTCTCTCCTCAATCCATTTAATCATATTTTATTGGTAAACAAACATTTTAAATGATTTTGTTCTATATCATACTATTTGGATATCCATTGAATTTATGAATCTTTGTGGAATTGTCAGTGTTATTGGTCGTATAATATGTTTGGATAAATTTTTGTTGTCTTATTTTTTTTACCAGGCTAAATTTGACTTTTATTTTTTGTAAATAAGTCAGACCATAAGCCGATAATTATATATATTATATTATTTGGATATAATTGAATTTATGAATCTTTGTGGAATTATCAGTGTTGTTGATCATATGTTATATTTGGATAAATTTTTGTTGTCTTATTTTTTTTAAACAGGCTAAATTAGGCTTTTATTTTTTGTAAACAAGTTAGGCCACAAGCCGATAATTATATTTATAACAGGTAAATTGAGACGTTTAAACACATACTTAAGGGGATGTACTGGATTGAAATTTTAAAGGATTTTAATGAATTATTTTTGGATAAAAAAATTCATTGGTATTCAATTAGGATTTTAAAGGATTGAAAAAAAGTCATGTGGTATTCGAATAAGATTTTAAAAGATTATTTTATGGTATTCAACCAGGATTTTAAACAAAGAAAAAACAATCTTGTGGTATTCAAAAATCTTACGATTTTAATGAATTTTCTATTGGTGTGGATTTCGCGAGACTTTTTAGTGAGAAATATAAACATGAGGTCTCTCTCACAATTTCACCCTAACTCCTAGGATTTCTCTAGATTTCTCTATTGCAGTGTCTTCTTCTTTTGATGGGTCGACATGCTCTACATCGATTTTCGCCATGGGAGCTTCGTCAAAGCTCCAAAACAACAGATTTTTGAGCTATTTTCATCACAAAACAACAACCCAACAAGATTTTATTCAATTTTATCTCAAAAACAGCAATTTTTAAGCAATTTTTGAGAATTTTTTAAAGTTTAAAAACAATTTTTCAAGCTATTGGTCATGATTTTTCTTGGTACAAAAATGTGATTTTTGTGTTAAAAACAACATAAAATAGTAGGAAAACAACAAGGGAACAAAGATTTCTCAAACCAATTTTCATTTTACGTCAATGAAACAAGATCGATTTAAAGAAAGATTGAAACTTTCATAACATGAACCCTATGTTTCGTAATAATATATTCATGAACGAAATTCCTTCGTTGTAGGAAACAATTTCAAACAATTTTTGTGTAATGCCCGACCGCTTCAAGAATCAATGACTATCCCCACATACTAACACGAGACTTTTCAATGTGCTTTTTTCTCACTCGCACACTTCCCGAGAAAACTTCCCAGGAGGTCACTCATCCCAGAATTGCTCCAAGTCAAGCACGCTTAACTATGGAGTTCTTCCGTTCCGGGCTACCGAAAAGAAGATGCATCTTGTTAGCATAGGTAGTACCAATTAATTCTTATAAGATATCTCAAACTGTGCAGTCTTATACCTACACAGCCTTTGGAATCCATCTCTTTCGGGTGTCGATTCGATTCATTCATGCATGTAACCCCCCGCTGGAAGCCTGTCAGGAGCCGCTCCTTGTCTGTGCCTCTTTGCACCGGCGATCACTCCCCGCCCTCGTCAACGCTCGGGATGTTACATGCCCACCAGCTTCCACCTAGTTCGTCCTCAAACCACACCGTACTGGAAGAGAGACCTGCTCTGATACCACTTGTAACGTCCGACCGCTTCAAGAATCAATGACTATCCCCACATACTAACACGAGACTTTTCAGTGTGCTTTTTCCTCACTCGCACACTTCTCGGGAAGACTTCACAGGAGGTCACCCATCCCAGAATTGCTCCAAGTCAAGCACGCTTAACTATGGAGTTCTTCCGTTTCGGGCTACCGAAAAGAAGATGCATCTTGTTAGCATAGTAATTAATTCTTATAAGATATCTCAAACTATGCAGTCTTATACCTGCACAGCCTTTGGAATCCCTCTCTTTCGGGTGTCGATTCGATTCATTCATGCATGTAACTCCCCGTTGGAAGCCTGTCAGGAGCCGCTCCTTGTCCGTGCCTCTTTGCACTGGCGATCCCTCTCCGCCCTCGTCAGCGCTCAGGATGTTACATTTTGTGTCATAAATCACCAAAAACTTATTTTTTAAAACCCCAAACAATTTAAGATTTCAATGTATTGATTGAAAACAATTTTAGAAATTCTCTTCGAATACTCAATGAAAACATGCATATGATATGTTGTTAGAAAACTCTCTTCACATAAAACAAAAACTCTAGGGTTTACATGATCAATTGCAAAAAATTTCAAACGAAAATTTATCATGAATTTTACTAATTGAGAAAATTATATTACGTTTTACTTATTTTATTAATATCATTGCATTTCTTTGTTAACTCTTTTTATTGACTTTTGTAATTTTTAATATTTGTTAAAAATTCATATTGTTCTTTCTAATCTTATAAATTCTATCTTTAAAATTCAATCGTATGAGATCTTGAATGTAAAAAAATTTAAAAAATCTTTAAACATTTTCCAATTCTGAATAATTTTTTAAAATCTATAAGCTTTTTATTTTACAAAAATCTTTTAAAATCTTAATCCAATACATCTCCGTAATCTTTTTAGACGGTTCGGTTCGGCCCGCCCAGGCCTAGTGAGTGGAATATAAGGTGGGAGATGATGGAGGGGAATGATAGTGTGAAGCAATGGAAACAGAGGATCCCAATCCCAATGGCAACGCCAACGCCAACGCCGCCCTCATCGACTCATTCTGTGAGATCACGTCGTCTTCGAAGCAAGAAGCCTTGTTCTTCTTGGAGAGCCACAACTTCGACCTTGACGCCGCCGTTTCAACCTTCCTAGACAACAACACCATCATCCCTCAAAACGACGACGTCGTAGCCCCCATCAACGCCGTCTCCAACTCCTCTCCCTCCGAAACCCACTCCCCGGAATTTTATCCCTCGCCATCAGCGTCTCCGTCGCCGTCACCCTCACCCTCCCGCGCCCCCTACGAGCTCCGATCCCGCAGGGCTCTCGGTAAGAAACCCTCCGGGAGCCGCCAAGGTAGAATCCGCACCCTCGGTGATCTGAAACGGTCCTCTCGCGATGATGATGATTCTGATTCTGATTCTGACGAACCCCAGGAGTACTACACTGGCGGTGAGAAAAGGTATCTCCTGATTCACGAACTCCTTCTACGCTTTCTCATATTTTCCCGATTCGGTGGACATAGATAATGAAAATTGATTTTTTTTCCCCCTCTTTTTTGGTTCGCTAATGATTTTGTTGCATTTTAGTCGCCTGTGGTTAAATTATTTAATATCAGTGTGAGAGATGAATGGTGCTTGATTTTATTCATTTAATTGTGAGAGCATGGGATCCAATGCATGGTCTTGTTCGGAGAAGAGAGTTTATGCCCATCCATGTATTGGAACAAGTTCGATCGTATTTTGATGTTGAAGATCCGCAGGTTAGTGATCAGCTAGGGTTAAGGTGTTCGAGTGAGAATGCTGGGGCTTGAAGCCAAGGTGTGGTGGTGTGTATGCACTGAATGGGAAATTAGGGTTTTAGAAGTGTGTACTCGGGCTGCATCTATGTATATAGAGTATACTTCAGAGTTTGACTTGGAGTTCAAAATCCTTGTCAAGTGATCGGTCCAGGTAGGGACCCAGTCCAGAACAGAACAAAAGATGCTCATTCTGGCTTAACTCACTAAGATGACAAATTTGGCTGGCTAGTCTCTACGACTAATATCAACTCTTTTGACTTACTTTATCCAATGTGTTGCATCACGTGCTTTCTTTGTCAATTATGGGTTTGCTTACCACTAGTTATGGCACCTAAGAATTGCTTGATACTATATAAAGGACAGTCCACTGTTATAAAGGTCCCCTATTCACAGGGTCCAGGGATGGTTGAGATTCATTTTGTGGGTCTATAGTAGGCAGCCTTACCACATTTGCAAGAGGCGCAGCTGATCATATGAATTGAGTTTTTGTGCCAAGACTTCTCCTTTCCTGCATGGTACTATAATGTGATGGAAAAATGGAAGTTTATCAATCATTCTTAGTGGCTATATTGCTAGTTTCATTCCATATAGTTTAGATGAGATTGTTGTTTTTGACATGTGTGCTTTTTTTCTTGAAAAATTCTTCTCACATCTATGTGTGGCTTTTGCATGCGTAGCTGAAATTGACCTGTTGTTTCAATTGTTATAGTGGCATGCTTGTCCAAGATCCTACCAAAGGAAACAGTGTGGATGATATTTTTGATCAAGCGAGACAGTCAGCTGTTGATGTACCTACTGAAAGTCCTCAAAACTCTTCAAGGCCAAAAAGTTTTACTGGAACCGCAAGATTGCTTTCTGGAGAGACAGTGCCGCCAACTGCTCCTCAGCCTACCGATGTAATTACACACAATATTACTTTTTGGAGGAATGGGTTCTCTGTCAATGACGGTCCTTTAAGGAGGTTGGGTGATCCACAAAATGACCCATTTCTGGAGGTAATTTGCTATGAAGTTTGTTTTCAAAATTTTGTGATAGGTATTTATTCATATTTCTGTATGTTTAATGTTTACCTTCTAAATTTACTGAAAGTTATCACTTTCACCACTTGGAACTTGTGAAAGTTATTAAGGGATTTATTACTCTTATGTTGCATAAAATATAATCTATCTCCTACACACACAAACTCAAAATGGGTCCCACTTTACTTTTTCTCTCTCTTCCCCTAAAAATGGACCCCACTTGCACCAATGAGTGTGTAGGAGATAATACATATCTTCTACAACATAAGAAAACTATTACCCAGTTATTAATGTCTTTTTCTAGTAGAAGTATTATATGCTTATCATTAGTTTAACTTGACACAGAGCATAAAGAAGTCTGAGTGTCCCAAAGAGCTTGAACCGACAGATCGAAGGACTTCTGTCCAGGTCAACCTCACAAGGAAGGATGAAAACTACCCTGTATGCCCTTTTCTTATATTTGCTCATCAGCTTTGTATTTGCTTCTCTTTCGTGTATGGTTTTTACCTTTCCTTTTTCTTTGTGACAATATATATACAGGAACCAGTGAAGCCAAACAATCTTCCTTTCCAGGGGGTTGGAAGGACTTTAGGTAGCAGCAGCTCCAGCTCCAGCAGTGAAGTCGCTGGTGCGAGCAGTGAACCTATTCAAACAATTGTTGCTTCACTAAACACTGCTCCATTGCCAGCAATGGGTTTAGTTGTAGATGAGTCACAGCCAGTGACATCAATCCAGCTAAGGTTAGCTGATGGTACACGCATGGTTGCTCGCTTCAATCACCACCATACAATCAGAGATGTTCGAGCGTTCATTGATGCATCTAGACCTGGTGGAGTAAGAAGTTACCAACTGCAGACAATGGGTTTTCCTCCCAAACAACTCACTGATTGGGACCAGACTATAGAGCAAGCTGGAATAGCCAATTCAGTTGTTATCCAGAAATTGTAGGTTGTTTACCCCATTTTATTTCCAGTCAGCTTGAAATTACTATGTTCATGCTTAACATCAATTGATCTACTTTTACTTTTATTGAATTTCAAAATTATTCGTCGTTAGCATACTCCGTTCCAAATTGCTTTCATGAAGAGAAATGTTGCTTGAAACAAATCAAAATCGTATTATCTTAAAAATATATTGAAGCCAAATTAGAAAAATTATTTTTAAAAATATTTATTCATTTATATGAATAATTACTTTAAAATTAATTTGAATTTTTTTTTTTGGTTAATAATAGTATCACTTAAATCCCTTTTGGGACAATAATAACAAAATTCACATATTGTAAATTTGTTGAAAATATATCCGCTTTCGGTACATAGTTACAGCAATCCCAAAGCAACTCTCGAACAAGGTAGGCAAGTCTCGAATGTTGGATTCCCAAATCCTATCCTCAACAAATTCTCTCGCGAACCCTATCCCTCCCAAATTCTCCCTTTTTTCTCTCACTCTATTGGTACTTTTTTTCTCTCTATCTTCTTAAACAAGCACGGGATCATCAGCTGTGGTGTTGGGCGGAAAATCCAAAGCAACGATCCAAGCTTCGACGGATCTGCTAAGGGGGGGGAGAGTGTGGAAAGAATTAGAAGCCACTCGAGATTGAGGGTGAGTTTCTCAATTATTCATATAAGAGAAACTTGCTCCCTTGTTGATTATTTATTTCAAGAAGGTCTCTTGGTTTTATTTCAATCGTAGCCTTGTTACCGATCATATGGTTTAGTTCCGCTTTATGGGACCCTTTTGAATCTTTTTGTTAGGGGTAATATAGACCGAAGTCGTTTTTTCTCTTGCCTTATTACCGATCATATGATATGATTTACTTTTATCCCTGACTTTTTTTTTTTTGTATAGCTTTATCCCTGACTTATTAGTACTTGAGATAGTTGGAAAAATATCTCTAGCTGAAAACTTTCCTAAACATGTTACCTAAAATGGTCTTAAGATATAAGAATTAATATTTCTGGTGTAAGGTGAAGATAACTTCATCATGCATTCACATGAAAGTTGATGAAATTCACTTTTTATCTTTCTCTCTTTTCTCCTCAAAGGTCACCCACCCATTTTTATCTGAATGCAGAATATAAAAAGTTATCTCCATCTTACACCAGAAATAACATACAAATAAACTATTATATTTTCATCTAGCTAAAAGCTTATAGCAATGTCATTACTGCATTGCATTATTGAAGTTTCCTCGTGGGTGTTTATTTTTAATTTTAAATCATGATTCAATGTAAGATGGTTGTCTTTACTGAGCATAAGTCCCTTTTCTGCATTGAATTCAAAGATTTTGTACTCTTTTTTCAATACACCATTCAGAGCACCGTATAGCAACATTGGAGAAAAAAATTTCTGGCTTTTGTGACATCCATTAAAATGAGTCTTTTGTCATTGGTAGCCTACTGATGTCGTAATTCTAGCATTGTTCCCTACAATTTCATTATTATGTAATTTTAGCATTCTGAAATAATGAAGTCAACCTTGAGCAGTTTGTGTGAGCTAGAGGAATGTTACCACTATAATTTAGTGGCTGATCTTTATAATAAATAATTAAGAGTGTGCTTTCGTATAATGTGAACAACTCTACTGTTATTGAGGAAATCACTGTTTGCACTTCATTAGGGTGGTGTTTAGTAGAAGGAAAATTTTTAGAATCCTTGGAAAGTGAGCTTGGGAATCAAATTTATCCACATTTCGTATAAATATTGCAAAAAAATTCCCAGGATTTTTTATTATGAAGAAAAAATGACAACTAAAAATATCACATAATGGGTGGTATTTTGAGAATCCCATCCGATGGGAAACTTGAGCTATGTTTCTGGGGCAAAATTAACCCTGCCTTATCTTCTTTGTTCTTCTTCTTTAGTTGGGTTCTTCTTCATTCTTCTTCAATACCGAGTGAGCTGGAGGACGAGGGGGGTTGTTGATTTATTTGTTGGGCGGGGGTGCAAAGTCAGGGTCAAGTGACACATTTGGTGAGTCTGAAAAAGTTTAGATAACCGACAAGATCATGGTGGTAGCTGTAATATTCCTCTTTACGGTGGTTGCATTTGTTCTCCTACTCCATTTCTATGCAAAATGGTTCTGGTGGCGCATTAAGCAAAGCACAGCTCCTCAACCACGTAACCGCTGCCACCGCTTTGTCTTTGCCCCTGGTCAAGACCCAATTACCTATGGCACTAACCATATTGGTCTTCACCCTGCAGTTCTTCTTCAATACCAAGTGAGTTAGAGGAAGCATTATTTCTTTCTTCAATACACCATTAGGAGAAAGGAACATGAGCAGAAATAGCTATTTGTTCTCCTCTTCCATCGCCGGTGAACTATGTGGTGCACTCAAGGCTCCCCCTCCGTTCTACCTACTAATAATTTATGAATATTTATTTAAGGATATACATTAATTAATATTATGCAGCAACACATTATTTGAATTGAAGACATGTAAATTAAGTGGCTGAAAAATTTGGCTTGCATTGTGTTACTGTTTCCTCTGGTTGGGTCTTTGGATAAATCGATAGAGGTGAGGTTATTTTTGTAAAATTAACTAATATTCCCATCACTATTTTATAATCAACCAAACATAGCATCAGAAAAATTAACCCAACTTTCTGAAAATATATTGACCTACCAAATAGTTTTTTGGTAATATTCCCGGAAAAGTCAATTTTCCACCATATTTTTAGAAATCGTGATTCTCGGACAAAAAAAAGTTCCTCCTCTACTAAACGCCCCCTGCATGTTTTTATTACACTATTATTGTTATCTCCGATTGAATTTTACTTTTGTGTGCAAATGTATTTTTGGTCTGTCCTTGTAGCATAATCTTATTAGAAAGTTATTATAAGTTATTATGCAATCCAAGTTCTAAGAAAACTAAGGATGAAACACTATAATTGACGTTGTTGATTGGTGGTGGGTGTGTAAATTATAGGAGTGTTCATCAATCGACCTAAACTGCAGTGACTGAACCGAAAAATCGATAGGCTTGTGAGTAATCCGTGTGAAAAAAAGCATATTTTAATTGGATTGGATCGGTTTCCGATTTGGTTGGTGAAAATCGATCCAATGTATTATGTATTTATTATTTTCGAAAGATGGTGACTTAAAATCTTGTTGTTTTGTAGACTTAGAATCTTGGATGTTATTGATCGCAAACTATCTTGTTTTAATCTTTCATTGTTTATAAATTTATTTTAACTCTTCATGAGTTTTTAGACTTGTTTTAGTTTGAAGATTTGAAATTTTCAGCAGTTTATAATTTTAAATGGCTTTATTTTGATATAGCTAGTGATTTGTGTGACTGAAATTTTAGGCTTTTCGAAAAATCAAAAATCAAAAACCGATCCAATCTAAACCGAATAAAATTGGATTGGATTGAATCAGATTTTAAAAATATCCAAACCGAATGGATGATTAAATGATCAAACCAAAGATATTGGATCAGATGATTTTTGCTTCAAAATCGATACAATCCAGACCGCGAACACCCCTAATAAATTGACCCTAAAGTTCGGCTTAAACTTTGCTTATATTCTTTTCCTAAACTCTTCGATGTTGAATTTTTAAATAGTCAACAAGATTTAATGACAAAGTTAACACAAATACTAACTTGCTTTTCAAAAAATTTTATGATCCTGATTGAATATCAGGACCCGAGAGGCTTGTGAGTAATCCGTGTGTCTCAACTACACAACAGAGATTCTATTATATAACTGAAAGAAAAAGAATTACAAAGAAACTTACATGATGTGGGACTTCTAAACTACTATTTACAACACGCTCCCTCGAGCTGGAGCATGTAGATCATATGCACCAAGCTGGTTACATATGTAATCTACTTGTTACATCAGCAAACTGATCATTTGAATTAACAAAATTAGTGACTATATATCCTAAGAGGACTTTTTCCCTAACAAAATGACAGTCTATCTCAATGTGCTTGGTCCTTTCATGAAACATTAGATTGGAAGCGATATGCAAAGCAGCTTGATTATCGCAAATGAGCGATGTTGAGCCAATGTCTTCAAACTTGAGTTCCTTCAGTAGTTGTTTTAACCAGATGAGTTTATAGGTGGCTATGGCCATAGAGCGATATTTTGCTTCAGCACTTGATCTGGCAACTACACTTTGGTTTCTTGCTTTTTCAAGAAACCAAATTACCTCCAACGAATATACATTACCTAGAGGTGGATCTTCTATTAATATGGAACCTGCCTAATTAGTATCTGAGTAACCCATAACTTTGGTATGACTTTTGTTTTTATAGAGGAGACCTTTACTGGAGCAAACTTGATGTACTTGAGAATACAATCACTGCATCCAGAGATCTACAAGAAGAATTCAAGAATTGACTTACTACACTAACTGCAAACAAGATGTCTGGTTGAGTAACTGTGAGATAGTTCAGCTTCCCAACTAATCTTTCATACCTTTTTGGATCTGAAAATGGTTTCTCCTGATTTGGCATAAGATCCATAGGAGTATTGACGAGCTTAGCTGTTAATAGAGTTGTCTCCTCAAAAATGTCCACAACATATTTATCTGGGATATCACAATACCATCCTTGGATTAGGACACTTCAATTCCCAAGAAATATTTAAGTCTTCTGAGATCTTTTGCCTGAAAATGATGACAGAGATGTTGTTTTACCTGAGCAATGCCTTGATGGTCATTACTTGTAATGACAACGTCATCAATATATACCACCAATTAAATGGATCCGGAGTCTGAGTGGCGATAAAAAGCTAAGTGATTAGCTCACTCCAAGTCATACTAAAATGTTGAACAATGGTGCTAAACCTCCCAAACCAAACTCGTTGAGACTGTTTGAGACTACACAAAGATTTGCGGAGTCAACAAACTAGATTGGACTCCCCTGGAACAACAAACCCAGGAGGTTGCTCCATATAAACTTCTTCTGCGAGATCACCATGGAGAAAAGCAATTTTGATATCGAATTGATCGAGGGGCCAACGACGGATAGCAGCCATAGTAAGAAAGAGGTGCACAGATGTCATATTTGCCATAAGGAAAAAGATATCGCTATATTCCTCACC